CCCCCCCCCCCCCCCAACTATACATGCTAGCTACGGCCCTGAGGCTGCCTAGTATTCATGGATGACATTTTCATTTTCTCGGATACGTGGGAGGAACATCATGTGGACGAAGTATTTCGTCGTATTCGCACAGCAGGGTTGAAGATCAAGCGAGACAAGTGCCAATTTGCACAAGAATCGGTGAAATTCCTTGGCCACATCGTATCTGCACGGGGAACAGAACCCGATTCGTCCAAAGTTGAGGCCGTGCGAGAATTTGCGACCCCGACCTCTCTCACCGATGTTCGAGCGTTCGTTGGTATGGCATCATACTATAGACGGTTTATTAAGAACTTTGCGGACATCGCTGCACCGCTCCACGACCTAACCAAGGGTGGCCAACCAGAATTTTGTTGGACACCTGTGGCCGACAAAGCATTCAATTAATGACCTCAAAAGTCGTCTGTGTTCAGCAATTATCTTGTCCCTACCAGACTTCTCCGTTGCTTTCGCCATTTATACGGATGCCAGTGATTTCGGCCTCGGCGCTGTCTTGTCCCAGCGAAGAGGTGAAAACGAGTATGTGATCGCGCAAGCCAGCCGGACTCTTACGTCTGCAGAGAGAAATTACTCAACCACGGAGAAAGAGTGTCTAGCCATTGTCTGGACAGTTTAACGTGGTTACAAGGATTGAAAGAACCGAAGGGTCGTCTCGCCAGGTGGATCCTGGCCTTACAGGAGTACGATTTCGAAATCAAGCATCGCCCGGATCGACAACACAGCAACGCAGATACCCTATCGCGTTTCCCTCGAGTGACACCCCCACGGATACAGGCAGACCAAAGCGTAGATGAGGACTTGATGGTCGGTGTAAACGGTACCGAGGTGTGCACGTCGTGGTCCAAGACAGAAATCTTAAAGGCACAACAGGACGACCCAAGCATTTCCATGATAATGCAGAAGTTAAGCTGCATGATGATCTAAAATTGACTGTGGTCTGAAAACGTCTGCAACAACGCTATTATTGGCCGGGAATGGCAGCAGAAGTGCAACTATGGATAGCCGAGTGCGAAAAATGCAACAGACGAAAAACACCCGTCCCATCTCAAAAGGCACCCATGCAGAGCATAGAAATTGGACAACCGATGGAACTGTGGGCTATGGACGTATTAGGTCCACTTCCCATGACTGCACGGGGGAACCAGTACATCTTGGTTATGTCCGATCACTTCACCAAGTGGGTAGAGGCGGTGCCAATGCCCAATCAACGTGCCGAGACGGTAGCTAAGGCCTTCGTTAACGAAGTAGTGACTCGACATGGAGTCCCAAGTAAACTTCTAACCGATCAAGAAAGGAACTTCGAGGCCGATCTCATGAAGCAAGTGTTCAGTCTCCTCGGTGTGCGAAAACTAATAACTTCGCCGTACTATCCCCAAACGGACGGACAGGTGGAGAGAATGAATCGCACGTTGAAGGGAATTCTGACAGCTTATGTAAATAAGGACCATAATGATTGAGACGATCACTTACCACTGGCCTTGTTTGCATATCGTAACAGTGTGCATTCCTCGTCTGGAGTTTCACCTTTCAAGGCAATTTATGGTCGCGAAGCCACTACACCGCTGGTACTTATGAACACCGAAACTGAAGTTAAGGAACAGTTTATTTCAAATTACTGTGATGAACTGGAGAAGACATTGAAGGACGTACATCGCAGCATCAAAACGAACATCGACGTGGCACAAAGTAAGCAGAAGAAAGGGTACGACGAACATAATAACGTTGACCGAAGTACATCGCTAAAGGAAGGGGATCGGGTGTGGCTCAATAACAAAGCTGTACCAAAGGGTTTGAGCCGAAAATTCCATTCACCGTGGACCGGGCCTTACGTAGTAATCAAGAGATTGGGCAAAGTAAACTACCATATCAAGCCGGGGTCTGGGAACGGTAAGACGAAAAAGTGGTACATCGCAATCGACTTAAGCTAGACATACGTACGCCAGCCTAGAATCGACATACGCCAGCCTAGAATCGAAGAAACCCTGTCTGTTGATCAACCAGAAAAGCACAACTCGAGAGTCGAATTGCTCCCAGGCGAGCCAGTGATACATCACGGAGAGAGCTAGACTGACGGACGCACATCTGTTACCAGCAGAGGGCTGATCCAATTGCGTAGGTCTAACCGTAATCGCCGACAACCTGATAGATATCAGGATTATAACTTAGATGAACTAGAGATCGAGGACGCTCTCAATTAAAGAGGGGGATAATGTAACATACGCTAGTGATTATATGGATTAATAGGGATTAAGTAATAAGAGACGTTTTATATAGATAGCTGATGACAGGTAGAGACTGAGGGTAATGTCATTGTATACAAGACGAATATAACAACAAGAGTTTTTTTAAATAGTATTGTTTCCTTGTTTGTGTATATTACACAGATTTCTGCAACTTAGTTTCCTACCTCGAAATAATTTTAAGCCAAATTTTGTCTCTTCTTTCGTGCTCTTAGGTACAGCATTTTCTTTAAAATTACTTATTTCTTTATCTGTCACTTTGGCAAAACAACTCGCCGCCATTTTGAAAAAACCGCTTAGGTGATTATCGCGTAATAATCCGAGGTCGCTTGACCAATCAGCGGCCACAACTTTCGATAATCACCTTTGTAATTATACTAATTGTTGTTAAAGCTGGAGTAATACCGAGGTTGGAGTAATACGCGCAACAAAATTGCTGCAGCCAAAATTTCTGCAACAAAATCTGATTTCAACGCATTTTAAGTAGAAATGTTGACAAAACATGTCAATTAACATGCGCAGAAATCAGATTTTGTTGCAAGTTGCAGCAATTTTGTTGCCCATATTAGTGTATTACTCCACCTTAATTGCTATTGTCAAATTCCGAATTTACTGAAAGAAAGTATTAAGTAAATTGAACACAATTCAAATATTATACACACATTTAATCACATACTGAACATCAGATATGACAAAAATACGTAAACGACTGTTACGTGCATTTTTCAATAAGCATAAACAGATTTAAGAAGTTACAAAGGATCCTGACTAAAACACCACACGAGTACATACGATTAACATACGAGAAACACACAAGTACATACGAGTACATACGAGTAACACACGAGTAACATACGAGTACATACGAGTAACACACGAGTAACATACGAGTACATACGAGTAACATACGAGTACATACGAGTAACACACGAGTACATACGAGTAACATACGAGTAAAACAGAAGTACATACGAGTAAAATACGAGTAGTAAACTTGTTTTTAGTGTTTGTAGATTGAATACAGGCAAAAAGATCGTCTTCTCTGTCGAAAAACGTGGAATGGGGGAATGGGAGAACGGGCGAACGGGGAATGGAGGAACGGGGAATGGGGGAACGGGGAATGCGGGGACGGGGAATGGGGGAACGAGGAACGGGGGGACAGGGAAATTGGGGAAATTATGAATTATTATTAATACGTAATATTAATCATATGTACGGGGGGGAGGAAGAACATAAAAAGGAAACAGAAATTCGACAGGATAAACGGGAATCGGGGAATTACGAAACTATGAAACGGACTCTTGTGTCTTGGGAATTAGAAAACCACTCAATGAATTAAAAAGTAAAGAAATTTAGCGAAGCTTTCCTTTATTAGTACAGCGTATCATAAAAAAGTCAATCCACATTGCTTATGTCAGATCATTAAGTAATATTAATAGTAATAACATTGCTTATGTCATTACTAATATACTTGCTACATAATAAAACAAACTTAAGGACTAGATGCAAGCCCAAGGCAGTCCTTATGCTCCATATGATATCTTAAAGTGATTATCCTATTTTAAATATCTTACAAAGCAAAACTAACAAAACACGAAATACTTCAAAATACGCAGATTTTAAGTTAGCAATTTAAGTTGGCAAGTACGTTTCTAAAGGACCCAGCCGAACTCTCCTACAAGCCTTTGGACGTGCTCCACCTTGAAAAGGGGAGGAAAGTCTGGAGAAACGCGAACGTCGCCAAGAAAGCTTGGATACTTTGCTCTGATGCAGGCTGATCGGAAATGAAAATGCAGTTCTGAGGCTCACTTGAAAACTGGATTTGTCCTGTATTTCGGTCTCGGAACTGTCGTATGTCGCGGTACACGTCTTGTGTAGTTCGTATATTTGTCCAGCCATATGTTGTGATTGAGGCTATGTGAGGATGTGTAAGTTTATTCCCTAGTACTATTTAAGTATAACGATGCAGTTAGGTTATGTGCATGCTCACAGGGTGTTGAAAGCAAACCATGCCGTGAAATATGTGAAGCCTATGGTATCTAACTATCTAGGTAGAATACCTAAAAGTAGATGTTGTACAAACTACAAAGTTGTGGTTTATAGAATCGTGCAGACCTCCCCCGCCCCCCCCGTCTCCTATTTTCTCCCTCCCCCTCGCCCCACCATTCCCTCCGTTCCCCATTCCCCGTCCCCCCATTCCCCGTCCCCGATTCCCCGTTCTCCCGTTCCCCCATTCCGGGTTTTAAAGATAGCCGGTTTCAGTCTATTTCACGTTTTTCGACAGAGAACACGATCTTTTTGCCTGTATTCAATCTACAAACACTAAAAACAAGTTTACTGCTCGTATTTTACTCGTATTCTACTCGTATGTACTCGTATTCTACTCGTATGTACTCGTATTCTACTCGTATGTACTCTCGTATTCTACTCGTATGTACTCGTATGTACTTGTGTTTTACTCGTATGTTACTCGTATGTACTCGTGTGTACTTGTGTTTTACTCGTATGTTACTCGTATGTACTCGTGTGTTACTCGTATGTACTCGTATGTACTTGTGTGTTACTCGTATGTACTCGTGTGGTGTTTTAGTCACGATCGTTACAAAGCATTTTAATGTGTCAAAAATAATTTGCACACTGAACAGACAGAACAGTACAAGGTCTTTAATATGTATACGAAACAAAATACATCACACGCCGAAATACAGACAGTACGAAAAACACATAAGACAAGAACAGTTCTTGTTCAAGGACAGCATACATCAAAGACAAAGCATCAGGTTTACAGGCTGCGTATATACAATTTTCGTGAAGTT